AAACGCTTCTGATTAACGAGAACGACGATAGTCTGTTCGCAAGATTTAGAAAAGCACAAGGTGCTGACCAGGATCTACAGAAATTAATTAAATTAGCCGAGTTAGGTAAAGCCGATAATTACGTTGTAAAGAATAGTTTACTGTATCACGATGTTAACGATAATTTACTACTAGTCGTACCAAAGGCTATGCAAACGCAAACAGTGCGGCAAGCGCACGAGCAAGGCCACTTCGGCATTAATAAGACTGAAATCCTAGTTCGTAGAGATTATTGGTTTAAGATTATGCGTTCTAAGATAGAAAAAATAATTACAAACTGCATCGATTGTATACTCGCCGAACGAAAGCATGGTAAGCAGGAAGGTTTTTTAAACGCGATCGATAAAGGTGACGTTCCGTTAGATACTTACCATATTGACCACTTAGGGCCATTGCCAAGTACAAAAAAGAGTTATCGCCATATTTTCCTTGTTATTGATGCGTTTTCTAAATTTGTGTGGCTGTACCCTACCAAGTCGTCTGATGTATTAGAAGTGATTGATCGTCTAAGTAAGCAATCTGTTGTCTTCGGAAATCCACGGCGAATAATTTCTGATCGCGGCACAGCGTTCACATCTCATGCGTTCGAAGAATATTGTCAAGACGAAAAGATACAGCACTTACTTATAGCCACCGGATTACCCCGAGGTAATGGTCAGATAGAAAGAATAAATCGCACGCTGATACCCCTTTTAACCAAGCTATCATCTCCGAAGAGTGAAGAATGGTTCAAATTCGTGAGTCTGGCTCAAAAATATTTGAATGCCACTCCTAGCCGAAGTACCGGCAGGACTCCTTTCCAGCTGATGTTTGGTACAGACATGCGTATCAAGAATAACGTGCAAGTGAGAGAACTAATAGAAGACGAATGGATTCGCATCTTCAACGAAGAACGTGACGATCTGAGGACGGGTGCCAGAGAAAAGATTGCTAAGATTCAAGACGAGAACCGGAGGACTTTCAACAAAAAACGAAAGGAACCTAGGAAATACGTCGACGGTGACATGGTCGCAATTAAACGAACCCAGAGTGGACTTGGACTCAAATTTCGATCCAAATTTTTAGGACCATATCAGGTGGTCCATACAATGCGTAACGACCGATACGTTGTTGAGAAAATAGGCGATCAAGAGGGACCTCAAAGAACATCTACAGCAGCCGACTTCATGAAGCCCTGGTTACCTCACTCGACTACAGACTCCGAGGAGGAATAAAGCCAACACCTGAGGATAGATGTTAAAGCAGGACGGCCGAAGATGTAGTATAAAATTCCTCATTTTTGGACAACTCGTGAAGCGCTCGCGAGACTGTAACGGCGAACTCTAGGTAAGATAGATGGCAGGAAAAAGGCATCGCGCGCGCCGGCAGGTAGTGTGGGGGATAGACGAAGGAGCACGAGGAGGAACGAGGACTTACGAATTAGATTCGACATGGTCGCGTCAGGAGATGTGAATTATTCTTTGGTGTGATAAGCAATAAGATCTGGTTATACTGCGCGCGATCTGAAACTATTAATTATATCCTACATATATGGGTTCTTAAAGATTAAAGATACCACTTGTGTTTTACTTTTTAATTTGGTAGAATTTAACTTGGCGCCGACTGTTGATATCAAATCTTGTATACAAATGATAAATGTCATTAAAATTAAATAAGTAATAAGGTAGACTAACTTGGCGCCGACTATTGATATCAAATCTTTTATACAAATGATACATGTCATTGATTTAAGTAAATAATAAGGATAATATCAGGTAGGTTTCTAAAGATTAGAATTTAACTTGGCGCCGACTATTGATATCAAATCTTTTATACAAATGATACATGTCATTAGATTTAAGTAAATAAGGATAATATCACGTAGGTTTTTAAAGATGGTTCTACTAAACAGCAAATGTGATTGGTCAGCTTCTCAGTCGATTAAGTAATTGACGTTGGTGAAACTGGCCCAAATGGTTTTTTGACCAGCAGCACCCACTGTTAGCGCCTTTTTCTACCTTTTTTTTAAAAAGGTAAGTTTATATACACATACAAATGAACATGTCATTAGAATTAAATAAGTGTATCAGAATGGTACCTCTTAGTACATATTACCATGAAAATTGACTCAGATATTATTGAAGGCGCCAGTTCAAAGTAAACATAAGGATAGTACATCTTGGGTTTTTAAAGATAGAATTTAACTTGGCGTACAAATGATACGTGTCATTAGATTTAAGAAAATAGTAAGATAAAAAAACAATAGTACCCTTCTCTTCTTCTTCAGTAATACCCATCAGTTCCGAACTTTCTGATTTGACTAACAAGGGAATACAACCAAATGAATCTCTTCGATTTAAATGAGCTTTTAGTATGCTGTTGTATAGACAAAAATAAGAGACACGTATTTTTTTATACGTGCGGAGTCGCATGTTAAGGGGGTGAAATCCTCCCTTGAAGAAAATCGGTTTTTTTCTTTCGAAGCGAATATCTTCGAAACTAAAAGATAGAAAATAAGAAAAAAATTCGAAAATAAGGGATAGAAAACATTTTCTAGAATAAAAATTGAATGGTTGCAAGAGTACTTTACAACTATAATAAAAAAATTTTTTTTACATTTATTTATTATATATCCCCCCCCTCCACTCTAATATTCATAAATTTTTTAATTTTTTATATGACAAAAATTAAAGAGAATTTTACGCTGAAAACAACGATGTGTATTTAAATCACGTTCCGAAAATCCATTTTTTAGATATGAACAAAAACGTCTCTTTATATGCGCTCCATACGTATTCGTACCGCGTTGGGAGCACAAGATACCGTTCAATGAATACAGTCCAGTACGCATTATTATCGTAATAGCTATTATTATATGAGCTTTTTACAATAATGTTATAATAATTATAATAATAATAATAATAATAATAATAACAACAGTAATAGTAACAGTGACCTTGTTCAGCTTCCGAAACCAGTTAAATATTTTTGATAATATATACAAAAATGTACTTCGGTCAATTAAAATCAAAGTGTGAATAAAGAAATTGATATCTTTGTAAATATTTCATTTTTCATTTGGTAATTATTTAGAATAGGGGAGGCAGTACCGATGACCTTGATCTTGACATATGTTATCAAGGTCATAACCCTAAGTAACCTCCAACAGATTTTAGCCGTCGCTCGTCCTTCGTTAAAATGTTATAAACAAAAATGTTTTAAGATTAATAATTTTGAAAATAACATTTATTTGAAATTTGTAATAAACTTAATTACTATTTTGTTCAGTAATGTCATTAATTGGATGGAAATAAGCCATAATTTCAAAAAACTTATCAATTCTATCATATTTTCGTTTAAAAATAAATTCAACCAAATAATGTGTGTAATGATATTACAAAGCGACTCTCATCCCACCTCTTCCTCTATGAAGGAGCTCGCAACCATGTCACTGTAAAGTGAATGCCTAAATGCAGTAGGTTCCGCCCCCCTACGGGGGGGCACCACTGTTGTTAAAAATAACCTAACTCAACCCATTTAGTGGTGTGAAGTAGCTCTTGCTTCGCGTTAATACACATGTCTGTACTATTGAACGTGGGTTTCGACTTTCTACGCGAAGTAAGAACTATCTCACACCACTAAACGGGTTGGGTTAGGTTATTTTTAACAGTAGTGGAGCCCCCCCGCAGGGGGGCGGAACCTACTGTATCTACGCATGTTATTTCTTTTAATTAAAATGAGAAGTCAAAATATATTCAAATGAATACGTTTAATTAACATTTCTATTATATCCTTTTCTAGGGCGGAGAAAGTGGGCTGAGAGTTGTGTTTCGCGTGAAAGTTGTACATCTCTTAAGCAGTGGGACGTGTGGAATAGCACATAATATCATATATACATTGTATATAGCAGAAATAAAAGGTTAATTTTAAAACTTTTTTTTGTTCATAACTTTTTAACGAAGGACGAGCGACAGCTAAAACCTGTTGGAGGTTACTCAGCGTCATAACCTTCTCTAGCGATCTGGAAGGCCTTGTCATGGCGCTAGGGCTCACCCTGGGCCCCTTTCGAGGGAACCAGGGTGCCAACATCCCAGTGTACGGAGTCCCCCGTTAAATAGGGGGACTCTGTACAGGGGTCCGGTACCCCAAGAGTATCTAGTAACAGCGGAATGACGCCTTCGGGCCGACCGTGGGGAAAGATACCTGGGCGGTCCGTCAGCGTACGGCGGACTTAACCAATGTGCCGGTAGGAGAAGGCGACTCCGACTTCAAACGCCCGGTGGCCAGGCGTCGATAGGGGGATAGTGATTTCCTCCCCTGGAGGGCGGTTCTCGTGGGCCGCGACTCCGCCATCCTCTGGAGCCCTCGCCCGTCCCGTCGGGGACGGGGTGGTCTCTGGGGTATTGGGGAGTCAAGATCCGCGACGGGGGTGCTCCTCCAGGCGCGCCGGGACCCGACGGGATCCTGCGCGCCTGGGCCGTCGCCATGGGGGTGCTGGGGCGGAGGCTGAGGGAATACTTCAGCCTCTGCCTCAGTCAGGGCCGCTTCCCCAGGGAATGGAAGACGGCGCACCTGGTCCTCCTGAGGAAGGAGGGCCAGCCCGCGGGGAGCCCATCGGCTTACAGGCCGTTATGCTTGCTGGACGATGTGGTCAAGCTGTACGAGCGCGTTATAGCTGGCCGCGTTGTCCAGCATCTGTCGCGGACTGGCCCGGACTTGTCGCCGGGCCAGTACGGCTTCCGCGAGGGACTGTCGACCGATGACGCGGTGCGTCAGGTGCGGGCCCTCGTGGAGGCAGTGGTAGTTGAGGGGGGTGTGGCGTTGGCTGTGTCCTTGGACATAGTCAACGCCTTCAACACCTTCCCTTGGGGTGTGGTGGTGCGCGCGCTCGAGGAGCATCGTGTGCCGCCGTACCTCACTGCGGTGATAGCGGACTACTTCCGCGACAGGGCACTGGAGTTCACCGTGAAGGGTGGACTCTGATGCAGCAGGGAGATGTCGTGCGGTGTTCCGCAGGGGTCGGTCCTGGGACCACTCTTGTGGAACATAGGGTACGACACCGTTCTCCGCGGGGCGCTGCCTTTCGACTGCCACCTCGTGCGGACGATACGTTGGTGGTCGGGGGCGAGGATTGGGAAGCGGTCCGGAGAAAGGCCGACCTCACACTGGCCGGGGTGGTCCGGGCCATCAGGGTGCTCGGGTTGGAGGTGGCTCCTCAGAAGACGGAGGCGTTGTTCTTCCACGATGGGTCTCTGGGGAAGCCGCCTCCTGCCCGAATCAGAGTGGGGGACGCGACCGTGGAGGTTGGTACCGAGATAAAGTATCTCGGCCTCATCCTTGACGGTCGCTGGGGCTTCGTCGAGCACTTTGCTCGACTTAGCCCCAAGTGGGAACGTCAGCCGGACGCACGGCTCATGCCCAACCTGGGCGGCCCGAATCCAGCGGTGCGGAAGCTTTATGTGCACGCCGTCCTGTCGGGGCTCCTGTATGGGGCCCCCGTGTGAACTGACGTCGCACTGCGCAACCGCCGCATTGTGATGATAATGCACAGGGTGCAAAGGCGGCTGTGCGTGCGCGTCGACCGGGGATACAGGACAGTGTCGTTCGCGGCCGCCACGTTGTTGGCGGGGCTTCCGCCCGCAGAACTCCTCGCTGGAGGCCGGGCCGAGATGTACCGCATGAGAGCTGCAGCTCGGCTCGAGCGCGTGCCTATGACCATGCGCGTGCTCTCAATGTGGAGGTCGTCGATCAGGGAGGGGGTCTTCGAAAAGTGGACTCTTAGTCTACGCGAGGACCCCGTTCTATCGACGAAACGGGTCGTCCAGTCGGTTGGCCCACTCGCAATGGAGTGGGCCGATCGAAAGTGAGGCCGCCTGACATACAGGTTGACACAGGTATTCACCAGACACGGATGATTCGGTGAGTACCTGTGTCGCATAGGGAAAGTTCCGGACCCCCGGTGTTGGCATTGCAAGGCGGCCGAGGACACCGCGCAGCACACGCTGGAACATTGCCCAGCGTGGAGCGTGCAGCGCGGTGGCCTCCGTGACGGGATCGGTAACGATCTGTCGCTCTCCAGTGTGGTCAAGGCCATGTGAAATGGGGCTCGGTCTCCTTCTTCTGCGAGCGTGTGATGCTCGCGAAGAAGGAGGCTGAGCGCCTGCGGGAGGGGATCATTCCCTGCCCGCGGGCACCAAGTGTGGCCCCTCTCGAGGGGGACCCCGACCCGACTATGGTTCGGCGGCGCCCCCCTCGGAGGGGATGTAGAAATAGGCATGGAGGCGGGAGGGGGCGCGAAAACGGGCCCCCTCCCCCAGACGGTAGAGGACGTGGAGGTGGGAGGGGGCGCGAAAACGGGCCCCCTACCCCTCCAATAGTGGTGCCGCCGTTGGCGGGGGGACGTCTGGCAACGGGCCTCCCCCCTCCGACCGCGGAGTGGGAAGAGGTAGTAGGAGGGGAGCCGGGAGTCGCGTAGCCGGTAAGGGCCGGTGACACAGCGCCGAGGGGCCCGCCTCGTAGAGAGGTGGGCCCCGCTGGCGGTGCGACTCTCGGATCCGAGTGGAGGGGTGGGAACCCCGTCTCCGATAGAACTCCCCAATGGAGGTTCGGGCGAGGGGTTGGTGTCCCCCCTCGTCCGACGGAGGGTCTGGGGTGTTTCTCGTTGGAGAGAAACACCCCAGTATAGGTCGTGACGGCGTCAGCCGTCGGGTCGGGGGGCGTCCTGGAAGTGTGCTTAATTGTGTTCCCAGGGCGTCCCCTATAACGACGAGAGGAAGGATACTGGCAGGAGTTTTAGTTGGTAGTCCCCGTTAAATAGGGGTTAGTCCAACATAACCCAACCGGGATTCCCGTCCTGGTTGTGTATGCGTAAATGCATTTCTCCTGCCTTACCAAAAAAAAAGAGTCATGACCTTGATAACATATGTCAAGGTCAAGGTCATCGGTGCTGCCTCCCCTATTCTAAATAATTACTTTATTATTATTATTATTATTATTACCATCATTATTATTATTATAACATCATTGTAAAAAGCTCTTATAATAACTAGTACGATAATGATGCGTATTGGACTGTATTCATTGAACGGTATCTTGTGCTACCAACGCGGTACGAATACGTATGGAGCGCACATAAAGAAACATTTTCGTTCATATCTAAAAAATGGATTTTCGGAACGTGATTTAAATACACATCGTTGTTTTCAGCGTAAAATTCTCTTTAATTTTCGTCATATAAAGAATTAAAAAATTTATGAAAATTAGAGTGGAGGGTGGGGGTATACAATAAATATATGTAAAAAAAATTTCATTATTACAGTTGTAAAGTACTCTTGCAACCATTCAATTTTTATACCAGAAATTTTTTTCTATTTTTTATAGTTTTGAAGATATTCGCTTCGAAAAATAAACCGATTTTATTCAAGGGAGGATTTCACCCCCTTAACATGCGACTCCGCACGTATAAAAAAATACGTGTCTCTTATTTTTGTCTATAGAACAACATACTAAAAGCTCATTTAAATCGGAGAGATCCACTTGGTTATGTTCCTTTGTAAGTCTAACTGGAACATGTACTTGAATACCTCATTATGTATGCCAAGGTTTTTCATATACATATTAATTTCTATTTCATTATCTTTCAGTAATAAAATGTATTACGTTAAAATAGACAATTTGGTATAAGAATTCTATTAAAATTAACACGGATCTTTTGTGATTTATTTTTGAAATATAAAAAATTATTATTTTGATCTCTGACCTGGAACACTATATCTGATTCCAGATTGTGGAGCACATAAGAATTCTTTTTAAATTAATACTCATCATTTGAAATTCATTTTTGAAATATAAAAAGCTGTTATTTCGATCTTTCACCTAGAACACTATATTTGACTCAAGATTTTGAAGCACATATGTGTGAGTTACAGTTTTCAATCAAGTGTATCTTCATAAAGTATACATTTTCAAAATATTATTCTAATTCATATTTAATATTGTGAGGAACGATTGTTCTGTTAATCAATTTCGTAATAACATTATACCAAAACACTTACTACGTTCATTAGTGTATTTGATTATGTATATGTAAAAGATTTTGACATTGGAATTAATACATATTCACTTTCATTGCACTATGTTTCAATAATAGAATATGTACTTTATTATGTTAAAATATTTTGGAGAACGTCAATGTAGACGTACTGGAAAAGCACCGTTCGGATACTATCACCAAGAAAGAGAAATCATAATAAAGTTCTTAATACTGAACATTAGAAAGAAACATACAATAATGAACTTGAAGTCATATCACAGGTATAACACACTACATATAATTAACTTTATAATAAACGCACATAAAGATGAACATATATTCTTTTTTTACGCTTCTTTCTAATGTTTAGTATTAAGAAATTATTACGATTTCTCTTTCTTGGTAATGGTGTATGAACGGTATCTTTCCAGTATATCTACATAGACGTTCTCTAAAATATTTTAACATAATACATTTCATTATTAAAATAATGCAATGAAAGTGAATATGTATTTATTCCAATGTCAAAATATTACATACATATAATCAACTATGCTAATAAACGTAATAAATTCTTTTGGTATAATCAGAAAAATCCTTTCTCACGATATTAATTATTAATTAGAATAATAATTTGTAAACGTACACTTATGAAGGTATACGTGATTTAAAACTGGTTAACTTACACTCTAAAATCTTGAACTAGGCGAGAGATCAAACTATAACAGTTTTTTATATTTAAAAAATAAAACACGAAAGATCAGTATTAATTTTAAAAGAATTCTTATGTCAAATTGTCTTAACGTAATACATTTTATTATTGGAAGATAATGAAATACCATGAAAAATGACTCATATATTATAGAAGGTGCCAAGTTCATCAAAGTAAACATACACCAACAGTTGCGAACTTTACGTCTGACTTGAATACCTCATTATGTATGCTAAGGTTTTTTACCATTTCATTATCTTCCAATAATAAAGATGTATTACGTTAAAGTAAACAATATGGTAAAACAATTTAATAAGAATTCTTTGAAATTAATATTGATCTTTTGTGATTCATTTTTAAAATATAAAAAACTGTTATTTTGATCACATAGAACACTATATTTGATTCAAGATTTTGGAGTTCATAAGAATTCTTTTGAAATTAATACTGATCTTATGTGATTCATTTTTGAAAAAATCTAAAAAACTGTTATTTTCATCTCTCACCTTGAACACTATATTTGATTCAAGAGTTTGGAGCACATGTGTGTAAGTTAATCAGTTTTCAATCTCGTGTATCTTCATAAGCATACATTTACAAATTATTATTATAATTAATAACTAATATTGTGAGGGTACATTATTACCATGAAAAATGACTCATACACTATTGAATGTGCCAGTTCAAAGTAAACATACATAAAGTGTATATTATTTTGTTGCATATATACGAAATAATAATGATTTAATATTATTATTATAAACATATAATGTGCATGTGTTGTTAAATCATTATTACGTATATATGCGACAAAAGGATATACATTTTATGAATGTTCACTTTGAACTAGCACCTTCAATGATATATCAGTTTGTTTTCTAACGTCGAAAGCGTCGGTTGCATTGCATTACCTTCAGAATTTAATGTACTTTTATTATTGTAATGTACTACTGCGCTTGTCAACTATTTTGATACCACTCTTATTTAGGGCAACATTATTGTCGATAAGCTTTGCATTAGTCACATCCAAGATTATAGCATTGGCATCAAGAACTTTCAATGTACTCAGATCTAATGTCTTTATATTATTACCGTTTTATGATATTTCCTCCTCCATCCAAATTGAACATCATTTTGATCAATTACTTCTAAATTGTGTACCTGCAA